TCCGTACGGGAGCAAGGCATCCGGCAGCGACGACAGCGACAAGTCCCGAGCCAGCCCCAGCGTGAGCTGTAAATCCAGCTCAGAGTCCAAGGCCCTGGACATCCTGCAGCAGCACGCCAGCCACTACAAGAGCAAATCACCCACGGTGAGGGTCAGGAGCACGCTGGCTTCGCCCAGCTCTGTGGAACAGTCCTGGGATTCTGTACCCAGCTGGGAGCAGCTCCGCCTGCCATGGGGTTTGCTGTACCTGCTGCTGTGGGAGACCCACAGCCATGGTGTATTACCACAGTACAAATCCTTTGGGATGGACCAGCCAAACCTGTGGGCAGGGCTGGCCCAGGGAAGCACTGGGGCTCCTCCAAGCCCTGCAGGAACCTGGTGACACTTGTCCATAGCCTTGGAGCTAGTGGGTGAGATGCAGGGGCTGTCTCCATCCCATGGCTTCTGCTGGGCTGAGCTGGGAGATGGAGTTTGGACATGGTGAGGAAAGAGCTGCCCTCAGACAGGACTTGTGTCCTCCTCACGGCTTTTGGGCTGTGAGCCTGGTCACCTCATGGGGCGTCTTTGGGCAAAGGTGGGGAGTATCACCCTGAGACGTGCCCTGGGGTGGCTGATCACGTCCCTAAGCGTGTGTCTGCTTTCTCCTCTCCAGATAAGTGAGAAAACATCTCAGGAGCGGGACCGCAGCGGCTGTGGGGTGGTGGGGGGCAGCGGGAGCTGCAGCAGCGTCGGGGGAGCTGGAGCAGGAGAACGGAGCGGCGACCGACCCCGCACATCGCCCTCCCAGCGCCTGCTCTCGACGCATCACCACCACCACCACCTCGGGTACTCGCTGCTGCCGGCACAGTACAACCTGCCCTATGCAACAGGTGAGAGCTGGGGCCGGGCTCAGGGGAGCTGGGAGGGAGCTGGACCCACCCTTGGGCCGTGGGAGCCCTTGTGCTGTTCCCTGGTCTGGCTGGGTGCCTGGCCCAGGCTGCTGGATCCTGATGCCGCTTCTCCTCCGCAGGTCTCTCCTCTACAGCCATCGTTGCCAGCCAGCAAGGCTCTACTCCCTCCCTATACCCACCTCCCCGGAGGTGAGAACGGTAAGGCTCTGCTCCTGCTGGGATGGGCACGAAGGGGGTGCCCTCAAGGGTTTAGGGTCCGCCCATCGCCCCAGGGGCTCGCGGGAGCTGACTTGCCCTTGGGTTGTGGCAGGACGTGAAGCACCGGGATGCCTGGGCTGTACAAGACATGTGACTGGCTCACATGGGGAAGCGCTGGAGACTCCTTTAGACATCAGTTGAATGGTGTTAATTGTTCTGCTTGACGTTCCTGCCGCGATCCGAGGCAGACTCTGTCTTCTCCCCCCTGTCGGACACACACTGACTGCCCCCCACACCCCCTTTGGTGAGTGGGTGAGCTGGTGCCTGCGGAAATATTTATTCTACTGGGCACCAGTGCTCGGGATGGAGGCGTCTTGCCCGTCTGGTGCATATGAAGAGGAAACAGAAGCACTGAGGTTTCTTGATGGATTTGGGACCCCACCGTGTCTCTTCGAGCTGCTGCTTCATGATGGGACTGGGGGCAGGCGGGGGCTCGGAGTGTGGGGCTGAGCCTGCTGTGGGGTCTCAGGAAAGGAAGGGCTGGCTCACATGGAGCCACAATGGGCTTGGGGGGGGCTGTTTTGAGCCTGAAGGTGGTGTCAGCCTGGCCGGAGAGAGCCGTGGGGCACGGGGATGTGCTGCATGTGAAGCTCTCCCTCTCCCAGTCCCTCATCTGGTCCTGCAGCCCACAGCACCCGCTGCTCTGTGTCCATGGGCAGGAGCCACTGGTGTGGCCAATGGCTGGAGCAGGGCTAGGGAGCTGGGGGAACTCTTTGCCCCAGTGAAGCAGCCACTGCCCCGGAGGGCCAGGGCTCCATGGGGCTGGGGGCAAGTGGGGCACAGAGTCGGGGGCTGTGCCTGTCACCCCACCTGGGGCTGCTGGGGTACCCCGTGCCGTGCACAGTCCAGACCTGCCTGAAGCTCCCACCCGTCACTTTCGAATTGGTTTCTGAGCTGTAACTCGGCAACACCCCCAGCCTTTCCTCTGCCCCCCTATCCTGGCAAATGCTCCCTGAACCCTGGGGCAGCATATCCTGCTGGGGGGTGGCTGTAGCTCCCCTTTTTATCCACCTTTTGCTTTTAGGGCGGCTCCCCCAGGCCGTGGGCAGGGCGCAGCGAAGAACAAGCACACTTAGGTTCTACCAGAGGCACGTGGGGCTGTGCTGGTCCCTGCTCTGGCCTCGTGCCGGGGCTGGGGGCACCAGGCCCTGGAGGAAGCCGGTCCCTGCTCCCGGCTGTTCCCCAGCACCGAGGACAGGGGCTTTCTGGTCCTCTGCCCCCAGCCCCAGAGCAGCTCTCCCTGGGCCGATGCTCTACCTCGGCCCCGCAGCGGCTGGGCCGCCCCAGCTCTGCCCCCTCTCCTGCTGCCCGGCTGGGGGGACATGGGGGCCGTGGGTCTCGGTCGTGTGTGTGTGTCCATGTCGCACCCGGCCCCGAGGGCCGCTGTACGGGGATGCTCTGCCCGCCGGGCTCTGTACATACTGTAAAAAGCAATTGTTTGAAAGCTGTTGTTTTGGGTTTTGTTTTCTTTCCCCATTTCTCCCCCATCCCACTGTACCCAGCTGGAAAGGAGGCTCTGGCTCTCTCGGCCCTGGTTCGGGTGCTGGCAGCGCGGTGGCCCCAGCCTGCTCTTGTTAAGACTCATTTTTCTCCCACTCTTCCTTGTCTTTGGAAGGAGGCGGGGCTGTGTGCCCCAGCACGCTCCGCAGGGACGGGGTGGGCTGTGCCCAGCGGCGGCTCCACCCGCCCCGCGCCCCTTCCAGAGCCACACGCAGCCACGGGGCTGGGGACTGGAGGGGTCGGGGTGCTTGAGGGAGCCCCACAACACACCCGTGGAGGAGTGTCCCACTGGCTGCTCCTACCTCCAGCCTCGGCCGGTCCGGCACAGCCTGGTTCCCAGCACGGCCGGGGCCCACCAGCGGCTCCAGGGGCACAGAGGAGGGCGTCGGGGCAGGGGGGGCTTGGGGGGTGCCACAGGCTTTGTTGGCAGTCGAAGGGTGTCAGGGGGCTGCTCCCCACCTTCCCAGTTGGGTCCCACTTGAGTCTCCCTTTAGGTGTTAAATGAAACAACCGTTTATGCAGAATAGGTTTGAGGTTTGACGTATCTGGGTTCTCTGGGTCAGTTGTTGCCCGTGGGGCCTCACCCGGCCCCCGCACTGGGGGGGTCCCCACTGCCCGGCCCCTGGCCAGGGCGTCGGACCGTTGGTGTTTATAGCTCTTGTTTCCATTGGCGTTGCTGTGTTGGGTTTCATTTCAGTCTTCCTGACTCTGCCCTTCTGTAAAGTGTACATTATTACCGAGTTCCTTGTTTTTTTATATATATATATATATAAATATATATATATACAAACTGTACTCTTCTTGCCTTTGTACATTTGGGCAAGGAGGGAGAATAAATCTTTTTAAGAGACAATCACAAACCTGTGAGGGTGGCTTTTTCTTCCTGCTCCCCCCAAGTCTGGTCCTTTATCCCCCAAAAGCTGTGGCTAGTGATTTTTGGGGGTGGGAGAGGGGGTTACCCCATCTCTGCGGCATGTGAGAGGGCTCAAGCAGCCTCATTCATCTGAGGCTGCATCCCTGTGCCCCTGCATCCAACCCCTCCACTCTGCCCTGGCACTCACAGCTCCTGGGGGTGCTGCAGCTGAACTCAGAGGGGATAATTTGGGGCAGAACCCCCCAGGCTTGAACCCCTGGGCACCAAGGTCCTGCCCTCCACCACTGCCCCCGGAAAGGCACTGGGCAAGCGGGGGGGTGCCACGGGGCAGGGCTTGGCTCTTCCAGCTCCACCATGGAGCTGATCCGTGCAAGAAGCAGCACCCAGGGGCAGCAGAGGCACCTTCCACATTTTCTTTAGGGTGTTTCTGAAGACACCAGTGATCTGAGACCTCCACATCTGCCTGCCTGTGCTGGAGGCAGGGCAGGGGAGAATTTGGAATTGTCAGAGCCGAACCATGCAGTGGCACACCCTTGTCACTACAGCTCATTAAGGAGCTCAGATCAGCCTCACTCCAGCTCCCATGAACCAGGATCTTGCACTTGACTAGTAAAGGAGCAAAGTGGTTCCCATCACCTTCAGGATGTGCCCAAGGGGAGCACCATGTGGTGGCAGCAGGGCCCTGGCACATGCAGGGGCAGGAGCAGGGGCAGCTCCAGCTGTAAGAAGGGATAAAACTGGGCCCTTCAAAAGCCAGAAGCAGCACTCGGTGCTGCTTCAGCCAGGGAACACCCAGTCCACAGGTCTCCTCTGTCAGGGGTCCATCGGCACAGCCCAGCTCTGATTCTAAACTGATTTAGGGTCTGAGGAGGGAGCAGAGCCACTGGCCCCTTGGTTTCATGGGATGGGAAGGAGGGCAAAAGAGACACAAAGTTTAAGATTATTTATTCACACACACTCATATCCCAGCCCTACCTCACTCCCCCCCTGATGAAACACTGACCATGGTGGTTATGGAATGTGAGAGCAGACAGGGACAATCCCACATGCTGGAAGAGCTGAGGGCATGGGCTCCCAGGACACAGGTGACACATCCCCCTTCCCTGGGGCCTGTCAGAGCCAGCCAGGATAGAGCTCCCATGGCACAGGGACAGAGCACTACCTCTCCAGCATTAGACAGGGCAGGGATGTAACCTACTGCCAGCACCATGGCCCAATCCTGGGAAAGCCGCTGGATGGGGAGACCATCCCACTTCCTGCCCCCACACAACCCTTTGGTTTGGATATAGCCTTTAGCAGCATCTCAAGGCTTGAGCTCATGCCTTTGGGAAGGTGGAGTAGAGGAGAGGGCCCAGGGCTGCTCTGTACCCATCCTGGGTGGAGGGTAAAGGCAGGAGCTTTTTCTGGCTCTTTGGACCATCCCAACCATCATGGTGCACGTCAGGAAACTGTTTGTCCCAAATAAGCAGCCCCAGGTGTGTGAAGTTCATCTGAATGCCCCTTTTATTGAACGCCGTGATAGCGCAGTGGGAACATGGAACAGGGTTAAGACTGCATAAAACAAAAGCTGGAAGAGCAAGAAGTTTCAAAAGAAAAAAAAAAAAGGGAAAAAAAGTTAGACCAGTTAAACCAGCATTGGAGCAGAGACGCATGGGGGGTTTAATGTAGTGTTAAAGGATAAACTCGAGCGTCTCCTGCACGTGCCCCACACCAAACCAGGCCATTTGCTTTAAGTCTTGAGTGGGAAATGAAAGCGTTGTCTCCCAGCTGAGCACGCACCGGGCAGGTGAGAGGCACCGCCGTGGGTCCGGTGGAGTCCCGGGGGTGGTGCTGCACCCCAAGCAGGGCCCAGGCCCCGGGGCTCCCACACCACGCAGCTGCACGGGAAGAGCTTCTATGCCAGTTCATAAACATCTTCCTTTTCCTAGTGATGATTACATGTGTGATAGATAGTTCTCTAGGCAACACGTTTCAATGAGAGTCAACTCTGGGGATACACAGCCCAATCTAACAATGAGAAATGCGCTTGCAGTCCAACAGAAACTTGGTTTTCCTTTCCTCAAGAAAGGAGGTGGAACCCTCTCTCCCTTCCACAGCATGTTGGGTCCCCACTGCAGCTACTCTTCGTCGGAGGAGGAGCTCTGATCCAGGGGGTACACCATGAACATCACGTCCGGCCGCGACGGGACTGCGGGGTGACCAGGCCGCACGATCTCAAAGCCCAAGAAGCTGAATGTCTTCAGGAGTGGAGCTACCAAAGAGAAGGAGACTCATTACCACCGGGAATGATCCTCTTTACCTGCCTCGCCCTCGAGCCATGAATATCCAAGAGCATTGAACACCCTCTGGGAATGCTTCCTGGACAGAGAGGAACTATGTTAAGGTGACAGCCCTTTCCAGCGGGAGGTTTTGTCTTTTCCTGTGCTCATCCAAGTGAAAGGGATTTGAGCTGTGCAGCTTTGTCCATGTTTCTTCCTTCCTCTGACAAACAGTGGCAGTTGGTCATCTACCTGCACCAGGCGCACATCCCTGCTTTCCCAGGACACACGTGGCCATCCCATAGGTTTTATCCTGCACTTCTCTGGGCCCTAAAGCAGGACAGACAGCAGCAAGCAGGAACCTGCTTAGGAGGTAGGCAGACACTTGCTGTCTCCATGAGGAGGTCCTGGAGCTCAGTGCAAACTCCAGACAGCTCTGCACAGCTTGGGAGCAGCCCTGGAAATTCACACATGGGAATTCCGAGCGGGGTCAGCCCAGAAGCCCCCACACCTCAGGGCTGCCAGACAAGGTTCTGTGACACAGTGACTGTTACTGAAGTGATGGCTTCCCTGTGACCTGTGACAGTCACTCCAGTGCAACGTCTGGTTCCTACAGGCCCCTCGGGTGATCAGCTCCAGGGCACTGAATGGCCAAGCAGAGGAGCTCCTGGAGGTATCTTCCAGGCAGCACTGAATTTCAGCTGCACTCGGGATCTGGGGTGCTCCACAACTCCTACAAACGAGCCCTGCTAAGGGCTGTCCCCTGTCCCCAGCCTGTCACCCACGCAACTGCCGCTGGTGGTGACATAACAGCCAGGACTTAATCTGCAAATTATTCTTGGCATGGTAATATGGGATGATGACATCTTCCTGGGCTCAGCTCAGCTTAGCTCTGCTAACGCCCTTCGTTTCGGAGAAGTCGGTGCAGCTCATGAAGCTGCAGAGTAAAATTAGAGCTGGGGTTGGAATTACTTGCTGGGTTACAGCCTGTGCCTGGTGGGACTTAAAGTGACATGTCCCCAGCCTGGTACCTCCCCCAGCTCCCCCTGCTTTAATTCCTCACCCAATGCGTCTGTCTTTAGATCCTAAAGCCCCCGGAGCTGTAAGAGTTTCCAGCCAGGGCCAGGATTACCTGTAAATCTGGGAAGGGCAAAAGTGCCAGGAGATCTTTAAAAAGCAGCTGAACTACAGGACACTAATCTGGAAGTGCTTGTTTCCCACCTAATAACTCCTCCCTGGTTTCACCTTCCACATCACTGCAGCCTGGTGCCAAACAGACTTCACTGCTTACTAAAAGGGGAATATTAACTGATTCTGGATGAGAAAAGCCTCCCAAGTCATTCAGGAGCAGCTTTCTGCACCAGAGTATTTAATGGCAAGGCATAAAAGAAGGTCTTAGCATGGAATCACAGAAGGGTTTGGGTTGGAAGGACCTTAAAGCTCATCCAGTCCCAGCCCCTGCCATGGGCAGGGACACCTTCCACTAGACCAGGTTGCTCCAAGCCCCATCCATCCTGGCCTTGGACACCTCCAGGGATGGGGCAGCCACAGCTTCCCTGGGCCACCTGTGATGTTGCTGTCCAGCAGACCTGCTGGAGAAACCAAAACACTCCCTCACCCTTACCCTCCAAAAAGGGCTTATTTCCTCCACAAGAAACTATTTCCGTGAGAATTTCACATGTAACGACCTCTGCAACAGGAAGGGTCCCATGGGTCTTGCCCTGGAATTCCCAGGTTTCTGTACAGCTCCAGCAGCACTATGTGCGCTGTCGGGACAAACCCAAGCCCAGGGGCCAGTCCTCACCTCGATCTTCTCTGCTTTTTCTGAAGCAGATGAAGACGTAGTTGACTTTCATTTTTTCTTCAGCAAACTCCAGCAGTGCTGACAACCTGCCAAGGAGGGGGAAGACAAAAGGATATCAGCTCTAGGAAGTTCTGTCCTGAGGAAGCCTCTGTGTGTTATCAAATTATCAACTGGATGTTTTCAGGCACAAAGACTGTTTACAGCCCCCTTCCAGTGAACAATGGGTGCTGAAACAATGGCCTTCCTGCCCTGCAGATCCAAGAGTTGTCCTTGCTGTGAGTAACCGACAAGTCCCTGTCCTGGCAGCCGTGAACACCCTCCCCACCCGTGGTGCTTTGGGACTGAAGCCTTAGTGGGCAGGAAGCAGAATATCACAGCTGGTCCCAGGCCAGGCTGCATCCCCCTCCACTGGCAACGCACACCAGGGGGATGTGGGAATTCTGTGCTTTTTGGGAAGGAAAAACATTCAGAAATGAGCTCCTGGCAGGCAGAGAAGGAGAACAAACCATCCCTGGAGGAGCGTGTGCACAGGCAAAGCTGTTTCCTGAGTGCATGGACTGGATGGCACAGCTGCTGCACCCTGAATCCTCGCTTCCTGCCTTTCCAGTTGGATTATTTCTGCCACCTCTTGATGGAAGCGGCGCTGCATTAACCCCTCTGCGAGCCCCCGGGGTGGCACATGGAGCCACCGCTGTCACTTGTAACCACTGGCGCTGCCAGAGCGGTGACAAACAGGCCTTCACTCCACATCTCATTAACCAGCAGTCAGCACGGGGGGATTAAATTTGCAAGGGTTCTGTTAATATGTTAATGAACTACTTTAATTATGGCCTCTCCTCGGCTGTTTCACCCAGCTAAAAATAACCTGACAAAACTGTGCTTTAAGTCACAATGACACTGGCAAATAAATCCCCTCTCAGAAGGACCCGCTCCCCGGAGAGCCGAGAGATTTACGGGCCAACCGGAGAAATTACACAAACATTTATCTGGACTTGGGGTCAAATGAGACAAGTGTGAGACAGCAACAGCACTGCCACTTCCTGAAGGTGCCCGGTGAGGGGTTTTTCCTTAATTAGCCTGCGTCTCTTAGGGATGAAGCCTACTTGGAGATTTAGGAGGAGCTGAGAGCTCCACAAAGGAATCCAGCAAAGCCACAGCTCCATTGCAGCGGAGACCTCTGGCAGAGCACTTGGCAGGAAGGAGCTGCTCTGGAAGCTGCGTTTACACAAACTTCCCAGAGCTGAGCTGTCTGGACAAAACACGACTGGATTCTGCCAAGAGAAAAATCAGAGCTCCTGGCAGAGCCCAGCGCCAGCGCGGCAGCGCTCCAAGAGCAGATCCACCTACTAATGAGGAGAGCATCCATAGGATGGAGGGGGTTTTTTTCCTGAAAAAGAGGAAAACCTGCCAGGATAAGACTTGTCAAGCGGCCAAGATAAAAATAAAAATATAATGAATAAAATGAAAAAATAGTAAAATATCAGAGAAAGGCTTGTTGGCTTTCCATACCTAAGTATGCAAAGATTCATCTGCTCATTTATTGCTTGTTTTTCATTAGTGTTGGGACTCAAAAAATGGTAACTCATCTGAAGTATCAAAATATATCCATGAAGGCCTAACAGGACAGTTCTCTGCAGGCATGGGAGCAGGATGTGCTTCAGACACACAACCCAGGAATGGAGCTGCTATTGCTCAGCTCATTCTCCCTGTACCCACAGCATGGAATCCCAGCATGGTTTGGGTTAGAGGGGACCTTTAAAGCTCATCTCATACCATCCCCTGCCAGTGATACCAGGGACACCTTCCACAAGACCTGGTTGCTCCAAGCCCCATCCAAACAGGCTTTGGACACTTTAAGGGATGGGGAGTCCACAATCACCTATGTAAGCAAAGCCCTGCCCTGCCCCACCCTCCCCGGGAGCCATGGCTGCAGCCCTGGGATCCTGAACTTACCCTTCTTTGCTTCCATCAGCTAATAATCCATCAGGGATTTCCACAAAGAGGCTCTGGTTTGAGAGCACTGCATCCCAGGAGGAGGTCTTCACCTCTGTGACCTTGTACTGGAAGTGGACAATGTGAGGCTTCCCTTCGTGCACTGGGACATCTTGGCTAACAGTGATCTTCTCGTCCTGGGAAAACAAAATTGTCAAGTACTGAACAGCCAGGGGACAACTGCAGAGAGCAAATGCAAATAAATGGCGTAAGGGTTTTACTGAGAAGAAGATTATGCTTTTCCCTTCCCCTTTCACTGGCTCAGGGACACATCTTGCAGTTCTCAGCCCTCAGAGTGATTTCTAGCCAACGGTAGTGATGGTTCATGAACTGTCCTTCAAAGAACACAACTGGACCCAATACAATGGCAGAGCTTCTGCTGTCACAGCCTGACCAGTCCAAACCAGTGCCTCCCCCATCCCCAACACAGCCCTTCTGTTCCAGGGATGACCACAAATTGCTTTCCCAGATGTTCCAACCCATGGTTTGCCTCCTGGTGTAAGAGAGGAAAACACACAGTGCAGGGAGATCCCAGAGCAGATCTGAGGCTGGTGAGAAGGTCGTCTCCATAGACCACAAAGGCACATGTCCCTCTCCAGCCCTGCCCCAGCAAGAATGCCAAGCATGCGGATCTCAGATCCAGTTTGGCAGTTCCTAGAAAACAATCCCATGGTTAAAACACCATTCCTCCAGACAATTCCGGCAGGCAGCTGGCTTGCCCCGTAATGATTTCCATGTTTCACTGCTAAGAGCTCCAGTGAAACAGCAAAGACCTGAGTTAACGCTGTCACTGCAGGGGAAGCTGAACTGTCCCGTGTGTTGGTGACAGCTCCTGCATCCCTGTTCCCTTACATTCCCAGTCACCTGCACAGCTCTGAAGGGCATAAGTAAAGCAGATATCCAGGGTCATGTGTGCTCTGCTCCCGAGTCACGGGAATGCCTGGGAAAGCCATGTGTCCCTCCCTTCTCGACAGGTGGGCTGGGCAGTGGTTTCCTCCACTTCAGTCATTGGGGGAGCAGCCGTCCAGCCTCCAAGTATTTTAATTTAACAGGGTGATTAATTCAACAGCTCCTCACAAGCCCTTCCTGCCTCCTCAAGCTGCTGTCCCAGTGCTTTAATTCCTATTACCTCGTGTCTTAAAATAGCTGCCCCTTGGTTTGACTGTTGTGACAAAGAGGCCACTGAGGACCTTAATGCTGGTGGACAAAGTAACCCCACTGCAAATCGGGAGCTGCTTGGCCTCAGTGAGCAGAGCAGAGGAAGCTGCCCTTCGTTTAAAGCCCACAAAGCTGATCTGAAAAACAAGTTTACACTTTACCAGAATAAATATCCTGTAGGAAATAAGTTTATTCATGGAGTTTGAAAGAAGTCTGCGTGGCTGAGCTCACTAGTTTTAAGTCAAATGCACCAAGAAACGCACCCACAGCTGCTCCAGTGAGGTCAGGCTGCTGCAGAGCGAGTCAGGGCTGAGCCCTGCACTACAGACATATTTAAAAAAAACAAATCCAAGGGGATTATGTGCATATCCCTCAGCACTGAATTTATAGGAGCCTTTTACAGTTGTTAGCGTGCAGAAAGCATCTCTGTTCCAGAAAAGAGGCTTCTCTCCAGAAAAAGCTCACAGATGCTGCTTTTCTCATACTCACAAAACCAAAACCAGGGTGAGGAAGTTGAGGAAAGAGGGCTGGGATTGACATGTTGGAGGGAGAGGTGTGCCTTTGGGTGGGAAGACTGGCAGGAGCACTACCATAGGAGGGGAAAAGTGTTCCGAGCCATTTGGTTTGGAACTTCCTTGTCACCAGTTCTGCCCTGTGCTCCAAACCCAGCAAAGTTGTTCCCTGAACCCCCCCGTGACAACCCAGGAACCAAAGGCAGCACAACCACAGGGATTAACAGAACCAGTTCCCCCGGTTCAGTGGGAATTATGTTTACACAGCTCAGGCAGCTGACAGTCTATTTCTAGGCATCCAAACAGAGATGCTGGGGAAGAGAAGCTGTTCCTCTGAAGTAGCAGTAGCCCAAAATTCTTTGGAAGCTGCTCAAAGCAAAATCCTGTCTACACAACAAGCGCTCAGTTTTAGTTCACCCTGGAAAAATCCCCCCACAAAATCCCCCTGCCATGTTACTGTGGGCAAAAAAACCCCAGCAGACTCTCTCTTACAAACTGCTGCCCAAAACCAGCTCTCCAGCCCTCGGCTCCGTTTCAGCGAAGCAAAGCCACAAGGACCAGCTTCTACTTGGTTCCAATTCCCTGAGCACAAAGTTTTCCAGCCCAGCTCCGCTCCTCGGATGTCCTGGGAAGGACGGGGGGGAGGCCCCGACGTGTTGGCAGGGTCAGGAGAAAGGATGTTATGATCCACGCTGGCCAAGCGACTGTAGAGAGCCACAGAAGCTCCGGCTGCTGGCATGTGCTGCACCTGCAGCCTCCTGCCAAGTCTGCCAGCCAGGGCACATCCTGGATGTTGCTGTGGCATTCCCAGCTCCAGCAAAGCTCCTTGGATGGAGGGCTGAGATTTAAGTCTCCTAACGCAAAAATACCAACACCTATAGGGAGCCCCAGCTGTTTAATCCATAGCGCTGCTGTATCTGAGTGCTGTGTGTGCTGGAGGAGGCAGCTCCTTCGGAAAGGTCATCCCTTGGACTGCAACAGCTGATACAATTGGAAAAAGGACTTAAGCTTTTGGATCCAGATGCCTTTCCAGGTCATTCTGATGGTCAGGCTGTTGGTTGAAAAGCTCAGGTTGCTGTAACTACAGCACTGCCAGACTTGGGCAACCAAGGGGGTAGAGAGAACCCCTGTAACCCCCACCTGAGGTCTGATACACCTGGGGCCCCTCATTCCAAGACACACTGAGGGGTTGCAGCATGTCCAGAGAAGGGAATAAAGCTGGGGAAGGGTATGGAGCACCAGGAGCAGTTGAGGGAGCTGGGGGAGGCTCAGCCTGGAGAAAAGGAGGGTCAGGGGGGACCTTCTTGCTCTCTACAACTCCCTGACAGGAGGGCGGAGCCAGGTGGGGGTCAAGCTCTGCTCCCAGGGAAGGAGACAGGACAAGAGGAAACAGGTTGAAGTTGCACCAGGGGAGGTTTAGGTTGGATATTAGGGAAAATTTCTTCACTGAAAGGGTTGTCAAGTATTGAACAGGCTGCCCAGGGCAGTGGTGGAGTCCCCATCCCTGGAGGGATTTAACAGCCATGTGGATGTGGCACCTGGGGACATGGTGTAGTGGGCGGCCTTCGCAGTGCTGGAGAGCAGTTGGACTTTACCTTAGAGGGCTTTTCCAACCCCAACAATTCCATGATTCTATGTTACAGAAGGGGCTGATTTTCTGACAGATTCTGCTAGTCTTGTCAAGCAATAAAGTCAGGAAGAATTCCATCCATATTTCTGGGATGCAGCTATCAGGATGACATCCCCCGTGCCTACACACCACTGCCAAAATCTCTGCAAGTTCATGGCTGTACTGAAAACTCAGAACTGTGATTCTTTCCACCAGCTCCCCCTCCACACTGAGCCCATTTTCTGCCTCTGGGCCTTGCCTGGTGGTGTACACGAGGCTTGGCAAAGCTGGGTGGCAGGAGTTTCACCTGCAGGGTCTCCTGTTTCTCACCTAGACAGGATTCATTACTTGTCCTGAGCCCTCTTGAAGCTATTTTTGTACCTTCTTTCTGTAACAAGGAGCCTCTTGTGCTGCTTCTCTGGAGTACACACCCCTCTAACATCTGTGACAATTCACCTCGAGCATTCAGCTGATAGCACGTTGTCACTAGAGGCTCAGAGGTGAGGAACGTGTTAAAAATTCACCAAAGGAAACTCTGAAAGCAGCTGTGAGGTCTGGCATTCTCTCATGAATTCCAAGAGGAGGTTCTGGGAGCTGTGGCCCAGAAGGGTCTGTATCTTTTCATCATGTAACGTCTGTGTGCCACCCACGGGGTAATTACAAATCAAGTCTCACACCTATGACAACACCCCTGGCTCAACAGCCAAATTTGCAAGGTGAGCATAATTTTAGGCTGCCTCATCCCTGGCATGTGGAAAAGCAGCCCTTGTCCCAGAAACAGAGACAGATGTGAGCCAAAGTCGCACAAGTGCCAATTATTCTACAGGAAGGAGCAGCCAGATCTCATTCAGAAGGAAAGGTCCCACGGAACAAAGAGGGATGAAAAATGAGAGAACTGCACAGAGCCACGTGCTCCTGCAAGTCTGCAGACACGAACCTTCCTGATCTTGCCCTGCCCTTGCACATATTCTAGAAACACCCCAGGCTGGGAGGTGGGTGGCTGCCTTTCCCACCTGTACCTGGGTTCAGGCAGCTCCCAGGTCCCGACAGCTTCACCTTCCAGACCGGGGCACAGAAAGGAGCTTATCAACCCTTCCCTCGTTGTTTCACCTTTCTGCTGCCCGCTTCCTCCTTCTGCCAGACATTTTCAGGAGTCCTTTCATGTTTTGATAATGCAGGCTCTGTTGACAATAGCTGCAACAGGCCCCTGGGAGCAGGGCTGCTGAATGATCTGCTGCACAATGGGCTCTCCTTTCTTAATAAACAGGTGATATTTAAGCAGGAGAGCCCTGCCTGCAGCTCAGTCGCTGAAAAATTACCTGTTCTCCCACTTATTACCTTGGAATTCTTTGCATTTATTCCCATCGGACTGCAAAAGGAACCAAACACAGTTGCAACACGGGTACAGGTCATTACTTAGACGTAAAATCTTTCTCACCTTATATATCAGAGCCGAAAGAGAAGGATCCCTGCTACCCCCTCGCCCACCGGGGATCTTCGACAGTGGGTGAGGGGCATCAGGAGCACCACAGAGGCCCTGGAACGATGTGCCTGCAGCACTGCAGCTGGGGACAGTTACTCAAAGGTAAAATACTACTGCAAGAAAAAGAGAGAGAGAACACTAGGTTACATTAGCAGGGATCATGTTTTGGAGGCTCTAGCTCCTCAAAACCCCAAATCACTCGTATCCCTGCTCCTCCACAGCACCCAGATGTCGACATCAAAACCACCCACTGCCCCAGTGGCACCAGAACTCGAGTGTTTTGTTAGGAATGGAGGAGGGGCTGGAGCCAGGAACCCGGAGAGAGTGCTGAGCAACCTCATGCTAATCAGAGAGGCCTGGAAGGCTGCCAGGAGCAGATGGCTGGGAATGCATGATCAGATGAGCATGCATTTTCTAGAGACAAATATCTACAAATAGATCAACAGGGCCCAGGAGGAGGAGGTTTAAGTTTCATGTTTTCAAACCGAGGAGGAGCGAAAGGGCTGGTTCTTCAGACACCTTCAACGCGCTCCACAACATCCGCGGCAACGTGTTCACAGGCACGTGAAGCATCAGACAAGTGTCCCTCACCCCAACCCTAAAAACTGTAAGTTCACCCCAGAGATCTACTTTTACAAGCAAGAAAACACATTTCCCTTCCAATTTCCAAGTTTGTTTGGAAGTCCTACGCGTGGTCTTCCATGCTCACTTTGGACACAACCTTTAATACCTGCTCTGGCTTTTAGGAAGCTCATGAAAGCAAACTAATTTACTTTCTGCAGCTTTGCTTCCTCTCCAGCACCACAAAAGCTCTGTGTGGAGGCTCAGTGTTCCTCTAACACAGTCTGCAAAAGCCATGCAGGGAAACCAATCCTTCCCCAGTGGAACATTATGGAACACACCAGAGCAAAGCTGTAGAAGCAGCACCAAAACAAAGGGGTGAGGGAGGGTTTTCATGAGCACAGGGCCAGGAACGAGGCTAAAGTGGATAAACTCTGCAGCTGTACTGACAACTCACTGTCTGTCCTGAAACTTCTCACTTGAGCTGTTCCCAATACAGTGTTTTTCCACTCTAATCCCTCTCCACGAGGCAGACAGGCTTAAATATCCAAACACCAAGTATGGAGCTGCACTGTCAGAACCACCTGAACCGCTGGCCATCACAGACTGGCTCAGGCTGGGAGAGACCTTAAAGCATGTCCAGTTCCAGCCCCTACCATGGACACCTTCCACCGGACCAGTTTGCTCCTGTCCAACAAGGAGCAACAAGGTTACAAGCCCTGTCCAACCTGGCCTTGTAACCTGCCTGTGCAGGCTGCAAAGCAGCTACTAAAACCTGGCATTTCTGAATGCCAAAAACAAAACTCACAAACGCAGTTACAACACAGGCAGAATCCCCCAAGGATCTCGGCTTCCCACCTCCTACCAAAACCATCTTTCTACAGGAAACACAAATATTCTTCCTCCACTTGTTTCTTCCTCCAGGTTCGCTAGGCTGGGCTCTGGCGTAGGGTTCCCATGTGCCATGGCTTAGAGCAGGGACCTCTTGGAGAACCGGCTATTTAAATACACCACAAGATGTTCGAAGTGGAAGCCAGAGAAGCCGGGTGTTTTGTGCTCCCCCGGTGTGCCCGGGGCTATCAATGGGCCAGTGTGTGTTCAGTAGTAGTAGCTGTGGAGAGGATGACAAAGCACTTTGTACCTTCCCCACCCCCAGAAAGCTGTTGGCAGCTTTGTTATTCCCTTCCCTCCTCCCTCACCCCCCAGCCAACAATGTACTATTGATAGCTCTCTCCAACTTGTGGCCAAGGCATGGAGAAGCTGGATAATGAAGTGGAGTTGTGGGAAAAAAAAAAAATCAAACAGAGAGGCAGTAGTTTTCATGCAAAGCAGCTCAAGACACTTCCCAGTTTCGCTTCCTCTGACACATGCAGAAGTCAAAACACAAGCCCCCTTCAGCCACCGAGCCCTGCCTGTGGCACTGCCCAGACCTGCACACCACCACTGTCCCTCCAAAATTAGGATCCCTGCACATCACCATTATCCCTTTCCAAAATTAGGGTCCCGAGAGCAGCACCCTCAGGGTGTATTTGGGGCACAGACTAAAAGAGATTTTGCTTTCTCCAGCTCCTGGGAAAAAGTTCACGCAAACTCCCAAAACGTCTGATCCCTCCATGCATCCGTGCACCAACAGCCCACTGCAACCCTGCTCCCTCAGGCCTGTTTGTAGCTTAAAAATTAGGCTTGTGCTCCCTTCTGACCTCTCTCCTCCTTGAAGAAGCTTTCCCACAGCTTGGTTGAGATTAAGACCTTTCCCTGGAGAAACTCCTCAGCAAAAGTGGCTCAGCTGAGCCCTGCCCGAAAGGGGAGCTGGAAGCCGGCGTTACACTCTCATCCCGCGGGTGTAATTTTAACTCCCTAAGCTCCCAGCGATCCCAACCCCGTGCCCTGTCCCTGGGAAGCGCAAAGGAGACCTCAGCAACTTGGGAACTCCTTAGCGACCCTCGCACGCGGAGCCAGCCGGGACCAGCACCTCGGGGGCTGAAATCCGCACACTTTCCTGTGTTTTAGGGGTTTTAATTGTTTTGAACACTTAAGACCAGAAGGAAGGATCCAAAGAGCTCCCCTGACACTGGAGAAATGACGTTCTTTTGTTTGTTTTCCTTTCTGCCCCTTTCCAAAACAGGCTATGGAGATGCAGCTGCACTTGGCGCACAATAATAGCAATATATTATTATTGCAAGACACATATCCAGGATTTGAGGAGCAAATTGCAAATAACCATCTGATGACCACAGCACAGGTCAAGCATCTCCCACAAAGGCAGCAGCCAAGAACCGGGGCTGCTCCGTGCGCATCCTCTGGGCTCTTATCGGCGACAGAGGCGCAGGAAATGACACTCTGGGGACTCTAAACAAGGAACAGACACACGAGATAAAATCGGTCAGCTGAGAAAAATACACAGATCCTGCAAGTTGGTGCCTGCTGATCCCCAACCTGCCTGGAAAAAGCCACCTTCCCGCAGGCAGGAAGAGGTGCGGGGGGTGCGGGGAGGGAGCGCCAGGACCGGTCGGCGAGAGGTGCTCAGGCCGCGGTGAGCCCAGACCCACCCCCGGGGGGCTCCTTCACGGGGAAGCGACGCCTCAGTGGGGATTTTGATCGCGTAAAGGCGGAGCGGCCTCCCCGCCGTCCCGCGGCCTCCCCACCGCCTCAGCGCCTGCCCGCGCCCCAGGCCCGCCCGCCGCCGCCGCGCTGCGGGGCGATAGGACAGGCGCCGCGCACCTGTCCTGGGTGTTTATCATCCTGGGCTCGGCTCCGGTCCGGCTGCGGCTCGGCTGGTCGCGCTGGTGCCCGGCTGCTGCCCCGCTCCGCTCCGCGCTCCGACTGACCCCGCGGGCCCGCGCGCCGACACGCCCCCCGCGTCACGCGCCCGGCCCCGCCCTCCCGCGCCGCGCGCCCGGCCCCGCCCCTCGCCCCGCCCCGCGGCGCGCGGGCAGCCTGGAAACCCACCGCCCCAAACAAAGGCGCGCGCCCCGGCCACGCCCACCCGCCAGTGACGTCACCGCCCCCCGCGCGCGCATCTCGCGCACCTCGCGCACCTCGCGCGTCTCCTGAGGGGGCGAGGGGCGCGCGCCCGAGGCTCCAGATTCTCCCCTCAGAATCCCGGTTCTCCTCAGGGACACGGTTCTCCCTTCAGCATCTCGGCTCCCTCAGCCCCCCCCGTGGGGCAGGTCTCACGTAGTCCCTAGGCCCCGGGGCTGGCAGCAAACCCAGGGGTGGGAGCAGGGCCGACCGCCTGGGCTGTGGGAAGTGACAAGGCCCCGGGTGGGAACTGGAGCCGAGGTTATGGGAGAAGAGGTTTGGGAGCATCAGGGCCGAGGAATGAACAGCCGAGTGTTGGTGGTGCCACACGGAACAAGCCATTGGCGCTGAGGTGAGAGATTGGGCAGGGAGATCCTTCCCTGTGAGGGTGGTGAGCCCTGGCCCAGGTTGCCCACAGAAGTGTGGCTGCCCCGTCCCAGGAGATGTTCAAGACCAGGCTGGACGGGCCTTGGAGCAACCTGGTCTAGTGGAAGATGTCCCTGCTCATGGCAGGGGGTTGGAATGAGATAAGCTTTAAGGTCTCTTCCAGCCCAACCCATTCCATTCTATATCCTGCTTAAAGTATGGGGCTGGTGCTTAAATGTGACCTGGGATGCCAAAAGCTCATAATCTGGATGAGTAGGAGCTGGAGTAAGGAATGAATACATGGATAACATGATATGGAGCTGCCCATGGCAGGGCTCTGCAGGGACTCTTGGTGAGCAGTGTATCCATAAGGGAAGGGCAGCAGCAGTCACACAGCCAAAGGTGAGGCTCCTGGAGAACCAGGCAGAGTGAGGAAACTGTGAGGTTCAGTCCTGCAGGGCTTGGTGGGTGCTGAGCCTTCACATAGGGTCAGGGATCGGGAAGCTCTTTGGAAGAGAAGCTCTGGGAGACCCTGTGGATGCCAGCCCTGAGGGCTGAAGTCCTGGAGAACCTCACACTGACCCACCCGGGCAACCTCAGCCCTGCCCCATGCCAGAGCTCCTGAGTGGCACCTGCAGCAGCCTGGGGTGCAATGCCCTGGTGGGTTCACGGACCCTGGGATCCCACAGGCAGCCCTGGGCCTGGGCTTCCCGGTTCCCAGCGCTGCCCTTCACTCGGCAGGAAGGGACCAGCTGTTCTGCAGAGAGCTGGACACCAGCCAGGACCTGAGTTCAAACAGAGCCCATTAAATGGCTTTTCCCCCCTTCCTTCACATTTCCAGCCCTGCTTGCAGCCGTGGTTCTATTTATAATGCCCAGGAAAAGCAAGCTGAGACTTTCCCACAGTGCCGGCTTCTCAGGCGATTGTTGTTCGGGAAGCTGGAATGTTCGTGGTATTATTTTTGTATCCCCCCGGGAAGGGTTTGTGTTTTTTATTGCGTGTCACTCTGTGTCCCCATCTGTGCTGAGGAGGAGAGTGTGCGAAGCACGAGGTCTCTGGTGCTGCTCATGGCTCTCAAACACTTTGCTGAGGTGCTGCTGGTTTGGGTGTCTGTGCCCATGAGCCCCTTTTGGGGTGGGTGGTGGGTGCTCTGAGAGGTGTCCTGGTAGCCCTGGGGCTGGAAGCCACAGGGGCATCGCTGGTAGCCCCTGTCTGGGTGCCAAGCCCATCATGTCACTTGCTCTGTGCCTCAATGTCCCCCAGGCACGGAGGAGGGAACACGGAGAATCCTGCTGGGAACAATGGGCTCATCGTTCCTGCCCTGCCTGGGGTTCCAGAATCAAGATGTGCCCTTACACCGCAGTTTTGGGGTGGCAGAGCCGTCACACGAGGCTGGGCCTGACAGCTGGGCTGTGGTGTCACTGTTCATGTGGTGCTGCTGCTAGCAGAGGCCAGTGGGCTCCTTTTTTTGCCTTTCTTGGCCATGCGAGGCCATTCCCTGCACGAAGCTGCTGTGGGATATTCTGGGCACGGCTGGACTGTGGCAGTTCCGTGCTGCTCCTGAGCCCCCCAGCCCCTGGGCAGGCAAGTATTTCACAGAGAAAAACCCACCTCACTTGGACTCTGAGGTCCTGCCTGTCCTCTCCATTGGTACTGGCAGTGGCAGCACTGCCCACAGCACTCCTGACTCTCCCTTTCCCTGCCCTACAAGGCCCTGCACGGCTTCGTTCCCACCTGTGCTGGGGATTCTCCTTTGGTTTTACTGCCCTACCCAGGACTTTGGCAGTGAGAAATGCTGTTGTGCCACATTTTTGGACAGTTTCTTTTTGGTGCAGCCAGTCTGATGGAGAACGCACACCTCTGAATAGCTTTGCCAGGTTTTGGGATCGATTATCCCAAATTCTAGATGCGGAACACAAGACATCTGCAACCTCTCTGTTTTAGAGGCTTGCAAACACTAGTTGAGCATCTCCTTAATTATCCTCATTAATTATTGTGGCTAATTGTGGACTATGTAGCTCTTAAAAATACTGTCCATCGGGACAAACTACGGAGAGAACTGATAGGTTTTTCCCCAGCTGGGGAATGGAGACCCAGAGCTCCTCTGTGCCTGGAGCTGGTGACACGTGGATCCTGGAGCTGGTGACACTTGTGGGCTGAGGCTGGGCAGGTGGCTCCAGCCTCTCAGAACTGCCTGATGTTGGGATGGAAGCTCTTAGGTGGGAGGGAGAGAGGCAAGGCTAAGGTGACGGGAAGTTGATCGCTCAGTCACAGCCTTGCTGCGCATGGGGCTGACAGCAGAGACACTGCCCAGGTATTCAGGGCCATGGAGGCAAGTGGGGTCCCTGTGGGATGGGCTGTCCCTCCAACATTCACTCCGTGCTCTTCTTTGGCTGCAGTCCTGGATCTCCTTGTTAGTGAGGAAGCTCCTGGAGCGGGTCCACCTGCTCGACAGCTCCGTGGCCGTACAGTCACAGGGGCTCTCGCTGACCTCGCCATGATGCGGTCGCTCAGATAAGGGAAACTACAGCTCTGCAGGGGGGGTTGTACCAGGGAAGCGGCGGGATGCAGCCCTTCTCTGTGCCTGTTCCCCAGGGATTACCACACACTTGTCCCTCGGCTGTGCCCTCCTTAAGGGAGTGGAGGTTGGGGGGTGTGTGGTGGGTACCATGTATTGCTGACGCAGTTCCTCGGTACCTGCAGCAGCGCTGCATAGCTGGCTGTGCTTAGAAGTGTTGCCTAATGGAAAACACTTCCAGAGGTTTCCAGACAAAGAGGGAAAAGGGTTGGTAGCTTTAAATGTAATTAATACCCTGTAGTTATTTAAAAACATCATTAGAAATGTGTCATTCAGAACTTTCTAGGGCTGGACATGTATCCAGGGATGGAATTATGTTTTCGTCAGCACCTTTTCATCCCCCTTCTGTGACTGCTCTTTTTTTTTTTTTTTTTTTTTTTTTGACGTGAGGATCTTGTTTTCCTAAGGGAAAAACAAAAATGAACACTGCCAAGGAATTTTGTTTTCATACCTCAGTCCTTCCAGCCCTGCTGCCAGCTCTGTCTTCCTGTGCTGACATGTCTGTGTCTGTTATAGCCTCAGCAGTACCAGGAGTTTTCCTGGGATTTTGGCTCCCAGTGTTTTGAGGTGAGCTGTGGATAAATTCCCTAAAGCTGGCCCATCTGTGCGGCTGGAACTGTGTCTTGAGTGCCCATCTCCAAGGTGGATTTTAATTGTTTGAGCAGTTGAATTGGTTGGTGTCACTCACCCGTGTCTTTGATCTGCTTCACATCTGTAACAACAAACGAGGTTCCTTCCAGGCCATGGCAATAGTTTTCTGCTCTCCCTTTATATTTCCAACAGGATGAGTTGATTCCTTGGCAGACCTGCCTGGAGCTGGGGGTCAGATTGAAGGCATGTTGCTGACATCAGTGGCTTGCTTTTTTAATGAGCTTTGTCAGAATTCGTTCTTTAGCCATTAAGCGGTGCCAGCGTGGAGTTCATGCATGAGCTGAGCTGAAACCTGCTCGGTGTGAATTAGTGATGAGGGAAAAGCAGGTCAGGGAACGTCTTGTTTCAGAACGCTGTGATAACCGGCGTGTTCCAAGGCCCGGAACCAGGGAATGGGCAGAACATAGAAATCATGGCAAGGGATGAATTCCCTCTGCTGTGCCATGAGGAAGTGTCGCCCCTCCTTATGCCAGTGGGATGTGTGTCGGCACCAAGGGAAGGTGTTCCCCTGTGGCACGAATCTGGGGGTGTTGGATGGGCTGAGGAGCTAGATGGTGTCAGGGGGATGAGCTGGTGATGTGATGTGGTGGCCCAGCATGAGAGGGTCTGTCATGGACTCGTGTTACTGATGAGCTCCGTGCTCCTGGAGAGGGTGCTGTGTGCCAGTGCCAACACCTTTGGAGAGGGCTCTGCTGGGATCTGCCACTGCAGAAAACATGCCAGGGAGAGTCCCTGGCTGTCCCTCCAAGCACCAGTGTTGGGATGAGTTGCTCCGGAAAGGCCAAGGCAATCCCTCCACCCATGGTGATCTGGCACAACAGAACCAAGGAATGGGGTGTGATGGAATAGGGTGAGATGGAAAAAGTAATCCATGGCCTACAGCTTTCCTGGGAACGTGTAGGTGTGAGTTTGAGGCATGTGGCTCTCAGGTCCGGCCTGTGTCAGCCGAGCTGGCAGCAAGGAGCACCTGCAGGAGCCAGGGTTCACTCCAGAGGTCACCTCTTCCTCAGCCAAAAGTAATACTTGTGTGATTCCCTTCCACTGCCTGTAGCTCCTCTGCGTCATCCCTGCTGCTCTGTGCCCCGAGCTCTTTTCCTTGGCTGCTCGTCGAGTAGGACACACTCCAGGGTACTCAGTGCAGCAGTGGCGGGTGGCACAGAGACAAAAAGGGGAAAAATCAAGGACAAATTGGTGAAAAGGAGCATACAGGAAAGGCCTCAGGTGGTGGGGAGTTGCCTTGCTGCTGGATTTTGCACATCTGAATGCAGCCAGGGCTTTCTATTGTTTTTTTTAAAAGCTCTTTCAATTATTTTTACAATGAGCTCATCTTTCCTGGCACATCCCTGCTCCCTGTTCATTCCATACCAGGCGTTGTTCACTTCTCTGCAGTTACCCACGTGTGAGCTGGGAACAGCAGCTCCACTGCTTATCCCTGGAGAAAAATAGGTCTTATCTTGGCTCCTTGTAGGTGCTGTGGGAAGGTGGGATGGATGGAGCTGGGAGTGTTTCTGATGGAGCTGCCTGAACTTAACCAGAATGGGGCCTGTGTGCTGCCTCTGCACAGCGGGACTTGGCAGAAGCTGGTTTGCTGTCTGGTTTTGGTGCTTTGGGATATGCTCCTATGAATGGAGATGGCTTGTGGAAAAGGCTGAGTGGTGTGTCGGTGATGTTGGGAGCCACTGCTACTCCAGCCAAAAATCCAAAAGGCCTCTTGGAGCTGCGTTGTTAAGACCACGAGTGACTGCACACTGCAAGGGCCGTTGGAAAATTAAAGTGTTGCATCTTCCCAGAACATTTTGTGGTACCTGAGCAAGGCTTCTTAAAAATTTCACATGGCAAGAACTCAGAACTGTCTTGGAGGAGCTTGTTTTGTGTCATTTGTCTTAACCTAGGGCTGTACCATAAAATAGGAAATCTTGGAAGTCCCAAATCTGAAAATCTGAAGTCCTTAAAGTGCTGTCCCAAAGCTCTGCCCTGGAGAGGTGACACCAGCAGCACCGTAAGCCTGGCTCTCCCCTTGTAAGTCTGGCTCTCCCCTCATTTTCACATCACAGCTTTAAGCAGACTGAGCCTAGGAGTAGGTCTTATGGGTCCAACACCAGGGGGTTGGTCCCGTCCTCCAAAGGGGCTCGTGACCAGTCTCAGGGATGCTGCACAGCAGCACCAGTGGTTTGGGCCAAGGATTCGCCCCCGGCTGCTGAGCTCTTGTCTGCTGACACCTCCTGTGCTGGCGGTGCAGCTGTTGGAAACAAAGAGCTGAGAAGCTTGAGGACCTGTCCAGGCAAAACACCTCCCTCCTTTTGCTTTAATAATTTTGTTTTTCTCAATTCTACCCTCCCATGATAATGTGTCTGGGCCTGTTTCACTGCACTGGATCACTCCAGTGAGTCTTCAGTCCAGGTCTAGGATCCACATATTTCTAGAACCTCATCCTGATTCTGTCCCCTTCCATGTCACATGGAGTTTGCCAAGGGGGCTTGAGGATGCACTGGCTGCAAAAACCCCAAACCTGTGTGCTTGGATTCTTCTCTCCCGTGGTTCTCTGGGCGTGTGAGGCGTCTGCTGGGTGCGTTTCTGTTCCGGTGCAGCCGGATTCATAAAGTTCCAGTTTTCGCGGCCCTGCAGGAATTTGCAGGCTCAGTGAAATTGCTGGGGGCTCCCTGCAGAGGCTGGCTGGATGTTCACCCTCCAGATCATTTGTGAACAGAGGCAAAAGGCTGATGGAAGAAAATTTTTCCGCAGAGCTGCCTGCCCTGCTGTGGCCTGGGAGCCCACACGCGGCTCCTGGCTCTTGTCAGCAGCTGCAGCATGTTCACCATAAGCCAGGGCGCTGCTAACCCTTAGGTTGCTCCTTTATATTATCCAAATACTGTTAAAATTGTCCTCTGGGTAGTTTTATCATTAATGTCTTTGTATGTAGGTGCTTGTCTCCTTGAATTTGTACTTTGTGATCTAACAGATAGTTTTCCAAATGATGCATTATTTACAATATGCTAAATTCCTTCCTTTGATATAAACTTACAATCCTTTCCTGTTTCAAATCTATAGAATATAGGAAGTGTTATTTGAACACAGCTTTGTACAAAGAATGGAGAGAGGAAAGAAGCAAGGGGGGGACAGGAAAAGGGCCTCCTTTTGGAACAGAAACACCTTTGTGTTGCAGGTGATTCCAGCTGGATTCGTCCTGGTGCTTCACCCACCAAGAGGAGTCCCTGGGAAACTAAATGCCTTTGTCTTCAAGACCCTATGGCTAAACAGATTTCCAGAGACCTCTCTCCTTCAGGATACCCAAACATGCTGGTCTGGAACACTGTTGTCATTATGTGCAGGGGGAGTCTCCTGTTCCTTGGGCTCTAGTTACAGGCTTCAAGTGATCTCAAGCTCAGGGAAGGTCTAAATGATTTGCAAGAAGAAACTTGAGAACATGCCCATCAAACAACAGAGTCAGGGATCTATGAGCTGCCATCTGTAGTGCTCTGCAACACTGATAAAAAGCTTCCTGAGCCGCCTGCATGGAGGGCATTCCAAAATTCAGCACCAGAAGCTGGGTGTATATGATGTTGGATCTCACCTATGGGTTTGGGGCATGGATAAAGATGCTACACGTGTTGGAAACCTCACTGAAGACCATAGTAGCTGGTAGGATGTCCTGAGGAGGGGACTTGTGAAGCCTCTCGAAGAGAGGCTGGCACTTGGATCCTTTGGATTTGAGGTTTTGAATAGCTCTGCCTCGGTGTGTGTGTGATGAATGGTGTGGAACGTACCTGAGAGCTCTGGTGCCCAGTGTGCAAGGGGTGACCCTGACCAGGAAGCCCCCCTGCTTCCTGCCTCCTCCTGCACAGCTCTGGAAGAAGGGATGGGAACCAGTGCAAGGCTGGCAGCACTGACAGAGTGCCCCTCTCAGGGGATGTGGTTTTTGGCTGGAGCCAACCCTGGTCGTTTTACAAACTGTTGTGTAACAGCTCTGCTCGGGGCACAGACTTGTGCTGGACACGGAGCTGAAATCCCTCGGGACCGAGTGTCCCGGAAGCTGCTCTCCTGAGACATCCACAGACCTGTTGGAGGAGGCACAGCAGTTCCTGGCCGCGAGCAGATCCCACCCTGGGTGTCACGGCCGTGGGGAACTCCGCACGGAGGCTGTTCCCAGGCTGGGCTGGCTCTTGGCCTCTCCTTCCACCGGGATCGCAGCGCTTCCGCCACCACGTCCCGGAGCCATCCAGCCACAGGAAGTGCAGCGGGTCATGGGAACCGGCCCGAGGACAGGAGGCTGAGCCTCCGTGAGAGCCAAGCGCCTCGCCCCGGCACGCTGCCTCTGCTCCTCTGGAACGCCGCGAGGGGCTGGGGGACGTGGGTTACGCAGGGTACATGCGGTGCGGGGTACACGGGGTGTGCAGGGTACACGGGGTACATGTGCCACCAACTCAGGCACGTGGCCCCTCGCCAAGTGACACCATGTTCCTGCCATCGCCCCCCAAGTGCCCCTCACCAAAGTGTGGGTGCCCAGCACTCCCTTCACCCCATTCCCTCCCCAGCCATCACTGCCCCACTGTACCCCCCGTCTCCAGGTGCTGAGGGAAGCCTGGGGGCAGGTTATACGGACCAGCTGAAATGCCTCATGTGCCTTTTAGCATTTTCTTCCTTTTTATTGAGTGAGGAGCTTCCTTGGAACACTGAAACCTCTGAGAGCTAGGGAATTATTAAAGTGTCACTTTTAGCTCTGACAGCATTTTTTTTGAAGCATTTTTAAAACTATTTGCCAAGTTTTCCTTTCAGTTGATCCAAAAGGGCTATGTTTTGGAGTTCCTTGTCCTCCAGATCTCTCCCAAGACTTGCTGGGGCCATCATCCTGCCAGAAGAGCCACGGGAATGTGAGCACAGCAGTGCACTGTCCTTGTCCCCGAGTGCAGCCTTACTTGGCCCGCTTTCACCAACGGCCCTGTGGGGCTTTTATGGGGTATTTAGCTCAGGCACCATCTTCCAGCTGTTTGCTCCTTGCATTTCCAGCTCAGTCTCTTGCAGTGGGGCTGCATGTGGGGATTGTGGTTTGTTTGGGACAGGAGTCTGGGATTGCTTTGAACCCAAAAGGAGTAGCAACAGAGTGGGGAGGCAAAGGCAAGATGCAGACAGAGTTATTATGTAGAAATTTCTATTGGTGATGTTGAAAAAATAGTAACTTGATCCTCTGTCCCCTACATTCCCACTAGTCACTGCATTTTCCTCTGTTTTATATCAACTCCTGCATGATCTTCCTGTGGTCTTACAGGGGCACAGGTAACCTCCATGGACTGGGAGGGTTCCTGGTCCCGGGAAGAGGATGCCAGGAACAGCACCATGTCTCAGTGCTGCTGGCAGTGAAAACAGAGAGCTCGATGCATTTAAATCCCACCTCCTAACACCTGGATCTTGGGGACTCAAATGTATTTTCCAGTGTTTTAATGCCAAACCAGGTTCTCACGAGCCTCCTTCACTCCCCCCTCTCCCCCCCCAAGAACTGCTGCTGGAGAAGGACACGGAGCTGAGTTCCCTGCGATACCCTGTAACTTTTGTTCCTGTCTCGTGTCTCCCCGCAGTGGTTTCACACTTTGCCCTGCAGATTTCGGCTCTCGCCGTCTGGCGTCGCAGGGCTGAGCGGCAGCAGAGTTTCTCAGCAGAGGTTCCCAGCTGAGCTCTCCAGCAGACGTTTCCTTCCATCGCGACGGTTGGGGTCACTCTTTCACAACGAGCGTTTTTCTCCCGAGCTCCAGCTGCGCTTTCCAGTAGGAGGAACCCCGAGCATTGCATCCTGTTAACGTGCCGGCCGGGATTTCGAGCTCTCGGGACTCTCTTTGCTGGACAAACGCACGGTCAGCAGTATCTCTGATTTTAATAGTGTAGCCATGCAGGAATAAGCTTTTTATGTAGCCTCGGAAGCTCAATAAATTAGTGTTCAAGCTCCCTGGGCTTCTCTGGGTGTGGATCCAGCAAGGGAGCTGGAATCTGCTCATCGTCTGGCCTCTCCCAGCTGTCATCAGTGGGGAGGGAAACGATGTGGCTTAAGCTCACAGAGTCATCCCCAGGTCTGGCACATGAACATATGCCATGGCGTTTGTCATGGTCACTGCCCCTCCTTGGCACCTCAAAACCTCTGTGGTGCTGGTGCAGGGAGAGTGTGAGGTGATGCCAGGACCCTGCTGGGCTTCCTGTGGAGAGGGCTTATCCCATGTTTGGTTTTCCCCTCTTCTTGGTGTGAGCAGGGCTCAGACCCACTGGACCCATTCTCAGCTTGAGACACCTGGCCTGGCTGGGGAGAAGAGCTGATGGTGGTCCAAGGGTTTGGCTTGTGGTGGGCACAGCAAGGTTCCCCCCCGGGCTGAGCTGAAGCCCACAGGCTCTTCCCTGGTAACGAGGGGCTGGGGGCGGCCAGACTGGAGCATCCTCAGGGGGTCCAGCCCTGCTGCTGTCCCGTGTGAATGCGGCTGCTCCCAGCCCAGCCGGCTCATGTGTGACCACGTGGGAACGTCCTGTCCTGGTGGAGGAGGAAGGGGGGTCAGTGGGGGAACTGCGGGGGTGGGAGCGAAGCATCACCCGGCGATGGGAACTGATTGTACCAAGGAGAGGGTCTTCAGGGATAAATTTAGTGGTGCTGAAAGAGCCCAGCTGGCTCTGCCTGCTGTGCGATGAGCCAAGCGTGCCAGGGGTGGCTGTGGCTCCTGCTGTCATCAGGTGGGGACAGGAAGATGGGGTGGGAAGTGGGGAGTGTTGACCTGTGCAGCCCCAGCCAGCCTAACCCCTTGCCAATCCTCCTTGGTGGCTCAGTTATTGCTCAAGGAAAAGGAGCTTGGAGAAGACAAATCAGCCAGGGCTGATTTGGGAAGCAGGTCACCCAAGTGCAGGGTACTTTGAAATTCCCAGATGATGGCTTTGTGATGTCCTGCCAGGGCCTGGCGGTGCTTCTTCTTGGAGGAGGATGTGCCCAGTGCCAGGAGCCAGCCCCAGCCTGGCACACCAACGGGACCCTGAGGAGGTCATTTGCTTTGTTAACTGTGAGGGTGGGGGTCCCATCTGCTGAGCAGGGGGACCAGCTAGGCTTGGTGACACCATGCTACCACCTCACAGGGGACATGGTACCAGCAACATCCCAGGCCTCACTGAGTGGCCAACCTGCAGTGTGGGAGGGAGCTGTGAAGGGCCGTATTTGCATGGGCAATGTTTCCATCTCTGGACTTGATCCAAGGCCAGGCTGGATAGAGCTTGGAATGACCTGGTCTCGTGGAAGGTGTCCCTGCCCATGGCAGGGAGGTGGAGCAAGATGATCTTTGCGATCCCTTCCAACCCAAACCATTCTGTGATCCTCACACAGGAGCAGCCCTGCATGGTGCTCCCTTGGGAAATGGTGCTGGCAGGGAGCCTTTCTCACTGCTTTTATGTTTTCCTGGGCTCCCTCCCGTGTCAGTCCTGGAAATCCCATTCATCACCTGGATTTTCCTTTGGCATTTACCTCCCTGGCCCAGGTCAGGTGATGTCTTGCTGTTGCAGTGCTTATGCCATCTCTTTTCCCACCATCCTGTCCCTTCATCTCCCTTCTCCTGAAGATATTCACAAGGACACCCAAACATCTTCCAAAAAGGCAGCCAGACTTGGATGTCAAGCTGTGTCTCCCTCTCACACTTCCCCGTCCCTGGAAGCATTCAAGGCCAGGTTGGATGGGGATCTGAGCAACCTGGTCTAGTGGAAGGTGTCCCTGCCCATGGCAGGGGGTTAGAATGAGATGGGCTTTAAAGTCCCTTCCAACCCAAACCATTCTGGAATTCTGTGATTCACCTTGCACTCAGCATGTTGGATCAGCTGTGGCAAACCAGACTCTTCCAAGAGAGCCAGGCATCTTTCCTTCCTTCTGCCTGAGGTTTTCACAGGTGGGTTTCTGCCAGCCCCTTTGTGCCGAGCAGACTCACTTTGTGCTTCTTTCCCGTCGCCATGTTATTAATTAACCTGGTTAGTCACGTAACCGTAGCGCTGGACTCGCTATTGTTTAAACTGGTGAACCCAAGCCCTTCTCTCTGCTCCGAGGTACTGCAGCTCCGTGGAGGGGGAAGTTTGCACTGTCAGCTGCCTTGGGAAGAGCTGAAATTCAGAGGGCAGTGAGGGATTTGCAGGAGGAGAAGGAGCCTTGGTGCAAGCTCCCTGGGGCTGTAGGGCTCTGGGTATTCCTGAAACCTGGGCTTGGGTTTGAACGTGGTCGGTTGTGGGGCCGAGCTTTTGCCGCTCATGTGCCAGCAACACCGCTGTTCCTTCCGCCTCGCTGAACGGCAGCCGGCCCGAGCCGGGGCCTGTTTAATTCAGCAAGTCATAAATTCATAATGCTTATTTACCACGCAGTTCCATCAATATTTGATAGTGGCCACCAGCCCGCCACAGCACGGCCCACGGAGGAGAGGGAGGTGGCTGTGGGGGGCTGGCGATGGGGCTGGCATGGAGTGGGGCTGCCTGTGTTAGTGTGGCGGTGCGGAGACAGAGCTGGAGAGACGTGGGCTCCTCCTCCAGCTCTGCAAACCTGCCAGTGGTGGGATGAAGCCATGATGGCTCTGCGGAGAGATGCGTGGGGGCCGGGCTGGCAGCTGGAGGCTGTCAGGTCTGGGGAGGAATGGAGCAGAGAGCCAGGCACAGAGGGAACGTGGCGGTTGTTGATGAAGAGGGAAATTTGGACACCTCGGAGGACACACACAACTTGATTGTCCCCAGGGTGTCCCAGGACGACCATGGGGGCTGCCCTGTATGTGCCACTTGATGCTGGCTCCACTCGGCAGAGGTCTAAGGATCAGCGCTGTGAACTCAGGAAGCCCCTTGACCCCCGACCCCAGCTCACTAATTGACTGCGGGGAGGGAAACTGCCCTTCGTGGAGGGGTGAGCAGGAAGGAACCTTCTCCCTGAGAGCTGCTGAGGCTTCAAGGAGAAGACGCAGGCGGGGGAGTTTAGCTGTGCAAAGACAATATTTTGCAGTTCACTCCAAAAGAGCTTCTTCCTGCTCATGGATCTTGAGCGTTTTGCCCATCGTAAGCAGAAGCTGCTGCAGTCAGCAGCCCCCCCACAGCTCCTGCCCGAGCCGGGCCCCTGCTCTGCGCTGGCAGTGCTGAGGGTCTTGTTTCTTGCTCTTTTGAAGGGGGCTGCTCTCTTCTGCCTGCCCTTAGCCTGAGCTCCCCCTCCCCTGGTTGTGTGAAGGTGATGGAGGGAGCCAGGTGCAGGCTGTACCCTGGAAACCCTGGACTTGTCCAGAAGCCATCCTGGCTTCCCACCTAACGGCTGCCGTGGTGGGAGGACAGTGTGCAGACCGGGGGCTCTGTGGCCAGTGGAGCCTGATGGGATGTGACAGCTCCAGACAGGCATACAGCTGCAGGTTTCCATCTCAGAGGGGACAGGGCCAAGGCAGCTCGGAGGTGCCTGGTGGGTCGGTGCCTTCTCCGGCATCGCTCAGCAATCCCTGAGTGCTGGGGCCATGGCATGCTGCCGATAAGGTGGCCCTCAGCTCCCGGCACTGCTCTCTGAGTGGTGCTCCGCTCTCCCTGCTGTGCTGAGAGAAGCCAGGCCAGCCCCAGTGACAGGTCTCCCCTTTTACGGTAGCTTTTATCTGTCCCTGGGGAATGTGGCCCCAGCGCCAGCTGGGCCGCCTGTGGCGGCAGTGGCAGCAGTGCCGACAGCCACGCCGCCTTCCCTCCTGCTACCCCAAAGTTTCCCTCAGCCAGCCACATCCTTGCTCTGCCAGCTCCCAGACCCACTGCTGCCATTCCCAGGGGATGTAGCAGGAATTAAAGCCCCTTCCCAGCATGCTGGGGTCCTGCCCCGTGCTGACTGTGCTGGTAGCCAAGAGGGCACATGTCGAGTGGTGACTTGCAGCTCCGTGTTGGATTGGGGACAGCAGGGTGCCCATGGATCCCTGAGTGGTGCATCCCAAACCCTGCAGCCTTTTCTCTGCCCCAGAGGCTTTCTCAGCTCAGACCTGAACTTTTTGCTCAGGATGTGACTCCCCACACTGTCCTGGTTGTTGCAATACCAGTGCTGGTAGGTCTGCGGCTTCGGGGATTTGGGAGTATGGCAAATGTGGGCAGCTCTGCTTTAATTTAGGGTGAGAAGTGTTTATGGGCCTCATGCTTGAGTCCACACTTCACTGTCCTCCTCTTACAGCCTGGAAAGGACCAGATCATGTGAGCTGGTGCAGAGAGAGGGGTTTTCCATGACAGCATGAATGTCCTCTGTACCAACCATTGTCACCTTCCCCCTGCAGTGAGCCCAACATGTGGGTGACAGTGTGAGAGCACAGAGACCATGCTGCTTGGAGGGGATGAGCAAGATGGAGGTGAGCTGGGAGGAACTGGGAAGATGGGGTCTGCCTTGGCTCTTGCCAGGAAGCTCCTCTGCAGTGTCACAGGATAGCTGATGGATGGCCGTGATGGATATGTGCATGGGAATGAGCCCTCACTGCTGTCCCCCTTGGGAGCAGAGTGGGAAGACATGGGACACCTGCAGAAGAGGTGTCCTCCTCAGTCACTGACCCAACAAGCTGCAGCATCCCTACCAGTGCATGGCACTGCAGGGACAGGGTGGCTGTTTGGTGGAGTGCTCAGCCAGCTCCCAGCCCTCCTTCGGGTGCCCGTTCCTCTGAAATATTCATCAGTGTGCTCCGCTGGAGACACCGAATTGCTCTAAACCTCTCTGAATATTTCATCCTCCTCCCTGCAAATGGTTCTGCTTGGGCTGGTGACGTCCTGGGCTCAGATCTCTCTGAGATAAGCTCCAAAAAAGGCAGGTTGGTGTCCCCACAAGCCTGTCTGCTTGCTGGGGCTGTGACACCAGCCTGCCCCACCATGCTGCCCCTTCTCCTCCTCCTCCTTGCTGTCTCCATAACACCTCGCAAACATTGTGTTTCTTCCCCATGCTGTTTCCATGAGCACTGTTCAAAGTTCT